CATTTCTCACATGCAGCCTTGCACGCCTCCAGGCTGTCAAAGGCGTTTTTACCACCATCGCTGACCAGGTAGGGGACTTCCATACACTGATGCTTATAACCCCAGTAGGCGAACCACGGAACATTCGGTTTAGCAATCTTTCCCGTGACTGGCTCAGAACATTCAGGGTTAGGTTTCCCTAAAAAAATATGAGAGAAGAAAAAGACTGCTTGAATGCCTGACATTGATCGGAACTAAACTCGTCCATACACACAGCACAACTGTGTCATTTCGCTATAAGTAAATATAAAATGTTAGAATGTTGCCACTGCATATTCGGTTCAGTCTGGCGATAAGCCAGAGAAAAATATGCAATGGGCAGACACGATCAAAATGTCTGCGAGCCGTAGTTTAGATAGCTTGTGTATCCGAAGAGTTCACTTGAGTGGGTTCTAGTAAAAGACATATCGCACTTCCAGATCCCTAGCGTAGGGTTCGCGAACAATTCAGTGGCACAGTTGGAGATCACTTTCGGTAGAACTAAGCTGCATGTGCACTGATCAGCATACTATTTTATTCCTTGACAATCGAATCACGTGTGACGTCGATAATTTGGACAAGTAAACAACTGATCTCAGATAAAGCCTTCCTGTCTCTTGTATAATTAAATAAACAGTATATTCGAAAAGTATTTTTGGTAGGACATTTCAGTGGGAATGACTGCGTGTGTTGTGCAGGGCATCCACAGGGATGTTTAAATAAATTTAAACGAGGAAATGTGTGCATCAAAAACGAACTTATTCCAAACATTTAAAAAGCTGTCATGAAATTTAGATTTACTTCGAAATCCTGCTTATTTCCCTTGTTTTATATTATTAATTTGTCTTTGGAGTTGCATTTCTTGTGATACCTGCTAGCAAGTTAAACGAAATTAGAGGATTAAATGCGGGTGACAGTCCAGCTTAACAAATGGATAAACAATGGTTAGACCTTAACAGTAGATAAAGCAGCCTATTTCAAGTGGGCTATAGGATGTATGCATTAGAAAAGGCAGTATGCTACTCACCCCAAACTGTTACGACGGCGAGAATGCAGGCGAGAACGAGGAACGCAATCATGGTTTAGGCGTGACTTGTTCCGTTTA